TGGATAACTCTCTTTTAGACTGAACCTTGTTGATTCTTGAAACACCAAAAGCCAATAGTAATGAAGTTACATCTACAAACACCAAAATCCAATAAGGAATAACCCTATATTAGAGTTATGTGAAAATTCAACAACTCTAGAGAGAGGAGTTATAATTTTTGCAGAGAGTGCGAAAGAGAAGCCTTGGATGAAAATTAGAGAGAAAAAGAGTAACCATGGATTGAACCCTAGAACCCTATTTATAAGTTGCAGTTAAATCCTTAATTGATTCAAACTTTTCAAGTTAATCTTTATGTAATTCAAAAATGTTATATACCTATCTTCAGGATATAAAAACAATCCACCATAAGACTTAGTTTGTGGAATATTCTAATTAATCTTCATAAATCAATTATTATTCATGTTCTGTAATTAATTAGAAGTATTTAATTAATTAGCAAAATATTTTATAATTAATCTATTAATTACGTAAGAGTTTAAAAACTTATTTTTTTCTTTTCCTTATAGCTTTTTGAGTCTTGAGACCTACCCAAAATGAATTTGCATTTATTAGAAATATAACCAAAATCGTTAATGACATTGGAGACTATATTCAAAAGTAATTATACTGAAAGTGGACCAAATTCTACCTTGCTTACCAACATATCTTACCCACATAATGCAACCATCCAAACCATGAGTAGATTGGATAACCCTCTATCAGAGTGAACCTTTTTGATTCTTGAAACACCAAAAGCCAATAGTAATGAAATTACATCCACAAACACCAAAAGCCAATAAGGAATAACCCTATATTTGAGTTTATGAGAAAATTCAACAACTCTAGAGAGAGGAGTTATAAGTTTTGTAGAGTGGGCGAAAGAGAAGCCTTGGACTAAAATTAGAGAGAAAACGAGTAACCATGGTTTGAACCCTAGAACTCTATTTATAAGTTGCAATTAAATTCTTAATGGATTCAAACTTTTCAAGTTAATCATTATGTAATTCAAAAATGTTATATACCTATCTTGCGGATATAAAAACCATCCACCATAAGGCTTAGTTTGTGGAATATTCTAATTAATCTTCAGAAATTAATTATTATTCAAGTTCTGTAATTAATTAAAACTATTTAATTAATTATCAAAATAATTTATAATTAATCTACTAATTACATAAGAATTGAAAAACTTATTTTTTTCTTTTCCTTTTAGCTTTTTGAGTCATGAGACCTACCAAAAATGACTCTGCTTTTATTAGATGTATGGCCAAAATCGTTAATGATATTGGACACTTTATTCAATAGTAATCAGATGGAAAGTGGACCAAATTCTACCTTGCTTACCAACATATGTTACCCACATAATGCCACCATCCAAACCATGAATAGATTGGATAATGCTTTTTCAGATTGAACCTTATTGATTCTTGAAACACCAAAAGTCAATAGTAATGAAGTTTCATCTACAAACACCAAAAGACAAGAAGGAATAACCCTATGTTAGGGTGTATGTTAAAATTCAATAACTCTTGAGAGAGTAGTTATAATTTTTGCAGAGAGGGGAGAAAAAGAAGCCTTGGACGAAAACTAGATGAAAATACAATAACCATGGTTTGAACCCTAGAAATCTATTTGTATGTTGCAGTTAAATCCTTAATGGATTCAAACTTTTCAAGTTAATATTTATTTTATTCAAAAATACTATATCCCTATCTTGTGGATATAAAAACCATCCACCATAAGGCTTATTTTGTGAGATATTCTAATTAATCTTCAGAAAGTAATTAATATTCAAGTTTTCTAATTAATTAAAACTATTTCATTAATTAAAAAAATAATTTATAATTAATCTGTTAATTACATGAAAATTTAAAAACTTATTTTCTTCTTTTCCTTTTAGCTTTTTGGATCATGAGACCAACTAAAAATGACTCTCATTTTATTAGAAATATTATCAAAACCGTTATTGACATTGGACACTCTATTCAATAGTAATTCGACTAAAAGTGGACCAAATTCTATCTTGCTTACCAACAAATCTTACCCACATAATGACACCATCCAAACCATGAATAAATTGGATAATCCTTTTTCAGACTGAACATTGTTGATTCTTGAAAAACCAAAAGCCAAGAGTCATGAAGTTATATCTACAAACACCAAAAGCCATTAAGGAATAACCCTATATTAGGGTTTATGCGAAAATTCAATAACTCTAGAGAGAGGAGTTATAATTTTCGCAGAAAGGGGAGAAAGAGAAGCCTTGTACGAAAATTAGAGAGAAAAAGAGTAATCATGGTTTAAACCCTATAAATCTATTTATAAGTTGTATTTAAATCCTAAATGGATTCAAACTTTTCAAGTTAATCTTTATGTAATTCAAAAATGTTATATACCTATCTTAGGATATAAAAACCATCCATCATAAGGCTTAGTTTGTGCAATATTCTAATTAATCTTTAAAAATTAATTAATATTCAAGTTCTCTAATTTCTTAAAACTATTTAACTAATTATCAAAATAACTTATAAATAATCTATTAATTACTTAAGAATTTAAAAACTTATTATTTTTCTTTTCCTTTTAGCTTTTTGAGTTATCAGACCTACCAAAATTCACTCTACTTTCATTAGAAATATGACCAAAATCGTTAATGATATTGGACACTCTATTCAATACTAATTAGACTGAAAGTGGACCAAATTCTACTTTGCTTACCAACATATCTTACCCACATAATGTCACCATCAAAACCATGAATAGATTGGATAACCCTTTTTTCAGATTGAACCTTGTTGATTCTTGAAACACCAAAAGCCAATACTAATGAAGTTACATTTACAAATACCAAGACCCAGGAAGGAATAACCATATATTAGGGTTTTTGCGAAAATTCAATAACTCTTGAGAGAGGAGTTATAATTTTCGTAGAGAGGGGAGAAAAAGAAGCCTTGGATGAAAATTAGAGGAAAATAGAATAACCATGGTTTGAACCCTAGAAATATATTTGTAATTTGCAGTTAAATCTTTAATGGATTCAAACTTATCAAGTAAATTTTTATGTAATTCAAAAATGTTATATCCCTATGATGGGGATATAAAAACCATCCACCATAAAGCTTAGTTTGTGGAATATTCTAATTAATTAATATTCAAGTTCTCTAATTTATTAAAACTATTTAATTACTTAGCAAAATGATTTATAATTAATCTATTAATTACTTAAGAATTTAACAACTTATTTTCTTCTTTTCCTTTTAGCTTTTTGAGTAATAAGACCAACCCAAAATGAATCTGCTTTTATTAGAAATATTATTAAACCGTTAATAACATTGTACAATCTAGTAATTAGAATGAAAGTGGATCAAATTCTTCCTTGCTTACCAACAAATCTTACCCTAATAATGCCACCATCCAAACCATAAATATATTAGATAACCCTCTTTCATATTGAACCTTGTTGATTCTTGAATCTGCACCATCATTTTGCAAGCATTACAAGACCGGAGGCTTATAAGCTACATATGTCTAGATCCCCTTTCTCCCTATAGTTGAGAACTCAGTTCTTCAACCAATGTCACTTTTTTATAAATTTATATTCCAAACTCCTCAAAAGAAGTTGTGACATATTTTTTCGAGACAAATTGATCACCATAGATGCGACCACCATAATAGAGATTTCTAGCCTTCCAAATCAAAGGTATTTTTTTTTTATGGAAATTCACTATTAAGGGCTAGCAATTGCTGATTTTAGACATCCTACATTGAACAGGAATACCAATGTAATTGAAGGGAAGGATTTGGTCCTATAATTTAACCACATAATCATAAAAGAGATCGTGATGTCACTCACCCCAACGTTTATAACCTTGCTTTTGGATAAGTTTAGTTTTAGACTTAAGTTAAGGAAGAAGCATTTACGAATCTGAATGATATTCAAAGAATTCTCCAAGCTCATTCGCGCAAAAACCCACAACATCCACATACTAAAATATAAAGAGGCAATAACCCGGCTTGATAAATTCACCCCTATATTGATACACTTTTTCTATGGCCTCTGCAATATTCGCTCTAAGGCCTTTAGTTGCAATAATAAAGAGGAAAGAGGAGATTGTGATCATGCCTTGGCGGAAACCTTTTTCCATCAGAAACTCGTTTGTGGGATTACCATTTCCAATGATATACTTGGTTGAGGTAATACAAGCAAGAATGAAAGATATCCATTTTTCGCAAAAGCCCATTAATCTCATCCGATTCACTATGAAGGACCAACATACTTAGGCTATAAACACTATAATAATTGAATTTGAAGACTACAAAATTCAATGAAACATTTATTTTGAACTTAAAAGGAATTTCTTTTTTACTTATTGCATAGTTTATTGACCATTCAACACCTATTATGCCCGTGTGTGTTCACTTACTACCAGTAGTAAGAACATAATCGCTTAACCAAATAAGAAAATGAAGTTAACAACCTATATCTCAAGTATCAAATCTAGAAAATGAAGTGTTCTAAATTTGATTCCCATTTATAAAGAGACAGAAACACATTAAATTATTGCTTCACCAAACACGTAATGCATTTTTTACTTGCAACTACCATAAAAGAATTAATAATAACAATAACAAAGTCATATATGCTATATATATGGAAAATTTATCATTACTAAATAAACTACAATGTGAAGGCATAGATGGGAAGATAAAAGGAAAACGACAGGATAAACAAATCCACCTCGCTTTAGGAAGGCTTTTCTCTGGAGTTAAACTCTTAAGATATGATGTGCTAGTAATTCTAGCATCGATACTTTTTGGTTGCCCAATTATTGTTATGAGAAAATTATTATATAGTTTTGCTGGTGTATTTTATAAACGGTAAACGACCACATCCCAAAATGCGTACTATTTCGTAGTACGTATATTCAACTTAGATTGAACTATAATATTAGATACAAATTGAAATCAAAATACTACCTTTCAACAAGAGAAATAATATCTTACAACATTTCCTAATTAACCTGGATATTCAACTCAAAATACGTTACCAATGTTTTAATACGGCATAACAAGCTAGATTCACCATGCATATATGAACAACTTTTGGTATTCCAATAATCAATTGTCGCACGTATTATACTAATAATGTTTTGTATGCCTCAAACAAAAAGCTTTCAGCCTCCCAATTGCATCTTCTAGTACTTTTGGCTCTGCCGCAAAACTCACTCGAAGCCAGTTTTTTAAGCCAACAGCATCCCCTGCCGTGATTTGTCATCGTAATACGAATTTGAATAACAATAATAATAATACTAACATTAACGAATGAGGTAATTTAATCTTTAAGATACTTTTAAGTATGTTATTGATATCATACCTGGTAGAAGGATCATGGATTCCTCTTTAGCCAACTTCATACAGAAGTCTGTATCATCAACTACATCATAAAACCCTGATAGATTTAACTTCACCTGTACAACCATTATCAGATGACTTTATAAACATTCTATATATTTTACGTAAATTAATTACTCCATACAATTTTTTTACCAGGACAAACATAGATCCCTCGGGTTTGTGTGGGCATGCAAGAAGGGGTATCTCCTTAAGTCTCTCATAAAACATATCAGCTGCTTCTTTTAGTAACTTGTTAATATTCACGAAGAATGATTCCGGCGTGTTCTTCAGTATACGAGGAATAGCTCCCTGAAACGTGTGCTTTAGCATTAGAATAACAGTCAACGATTAAGAAGATTGTGGAATCATGTACCTGAATAACAGTGGGGGGTTCTGCCGATATCACTAGGCAACTCTTCAGGGAACTAACAATCTGAAACCATAGTATATATGTTAGACAATGGAAAGTTTTGACCTATGATAAAAGTTCATGAATTTGATTAATTAGAAAGAATGAGCGATGTAGAGAGAAAATTAAACCCCAGTTTTGTGAAGAACGCCAACTGGATCAGTTATTGCAATCCATCCAAAACGCCACCCAGGAACGATCCATCGTTTTGACAACGTCCCAATCGTCACAACAGGCGCTATTGCACCAAATACTCCCATGGGGATAAAGGGTTTTTCTCCGAAGACTTGATGGGCATAAACTTCGTCTGCAATCACCAGAATTCCAAGTTCTCTTGCTGTTTCTGCAATCTTTCATCATGAAAAAACAAGAACAAGAAAGATCGTTAGGACAAATATTATCCAAATAGCTTGTGTGAGTTTTATTTGCCTTCTAAATATGTGTGTTTGGTTCTACAATATATATATGTGTTACCAAATATAGGATCCAGGTTTTTGGTGTAAAGTACTACATCTAGCACCCTTTTGCATATAACCATTATAATATTTAAATATATGAGTTGCAGAAAGTAATCACACCTTTCGCATATGCTCATATGTGAAAACACTTCCAGAAGGATTCCCTGGGTTGATGAGAACTATAGCTACAGTTTTCTCATCTGCTAATCTTTTGACACCATCAAGATCAACTTCCCAACCTTTGTCTGGGAGGAGATCAAAATGACGCACCTCGAGTGAACTAAATCTGGCTCGAGCTTCATATGTCGGATAATTAGGTTTAGGAAAGAGTATATTTGCACCAGGGTAAGCAAGAACAGTTAGTAATACATGAATAGCATGTTCTGCTCCAACAGTAAGCAAAACGTCATCGGTTTTTAATGTGTAAGGAATATCTCTCGACAGATACTCAGCAATAGCCCTATTAATAAAATAATTTGTTAATAACTTTGCTTCAAACCCACCAAAATGTCAAAAAACATGAAACATCGACGAAGTTGTAGATCCAAAATATGAAATCGATGAAAGGTAAGTAATTAATTATAACCTTCTTGCAGGATTAATTCCGGCTCCAGTAGCATAACAGTTGAAGTTAGCAGATCGAATGGCTTCCACCAGAGCATCTTCTACTACTGGAGATGTTCGAAAGCAAGGGTAAACTGAAGGATCACCATGTCCAAGATGAATCATCGGTTTTCCTGTCTGTGTAACGTCGATGTTACCCATGATTAACTCAAGGGTGTTTCTCATTGTCAAAGATGCAGCTGCATGTACTTCGTTGTTCTCCTTAAAACGCCATTCTTCTTTCACCATTTTTCTTCCTCTTCTTTCTTTCTTGCTTTGCATTTGTTTAGGTTAGTAGTGGCTACTTATAGGCGTACTAGTGAGGTTTGTATGTAGACCGGTCAGTTTTTATTATAACTGGATTCAAGTTGATGTAAACAACTTCCACATGACATTTACACTGCCATGATGACAAGGTGCTCTGACGTATGCCATATGCCTTGGTTTTACGATCTATTATAAATGGAAGTAGCATATTGGTTGTAATTATTATGATTATTATACTAATCTATATATGTTTATAGTTTTGTATGTTTAGTTAGTTATTCTAATTCAACTCGTTGGATATATAATCAACGCGGCACCACAAAAAAATAGTAATTTACTTGTTAATGCAATTATTATGAATATTATACAAGGTTATAATTTGATATGTTTAGTTAGTTATCGTAATTTAACTCATTGGATATATAATCAGCTTGACAGCTCAAAAATTAGTAATTTAATTGGCTGGTGGTATCAATCTTAAAAACACTGTTCGGGATGTATTATGAAATCGGTGCTACAAGGTATAAAAGTTAAATATATGATACATGCATGTATATACCAGCTTGCTTGCCTCAAACAAATTTAGTTAAATATAAAAGTTAAATATAAGTTTAGATGAGCCGTGTTAACTCATCTTATTATGAGCCTTTTGTCTTAACTTAACCCTTTAGGGTTTAGTTCCCTTTCTAATGAAGAACTAACTTTTCTGTTTTTCAAATATGAATATGGTTCGACCATTGCTAGAAAACTAAGTAATTACCTACAATGGTATTCTTAGGTAATCCGTAGGAACAAGACATTACATACAGATTTCTTACAGAAAACGGGTTATAGGAAAAAACCTTTGTGGGTAATTTCTCTCTACAAATTACCTACAAACCTTCATACGCATTTCCTATGGAATATTCTGTTACAATTTTACCTACGGAACACGTTTACTACGGAGTGCCTACGGGTTATTTATATATGAAACACCTACAAAGTATATATGGATTATTTTCTTACAGAATACCTACAAACCGCTTTACCTAGAGAATACCTAACTAGATCTTTTCCTACGTAATAACTACTAACTTTTCCTAAAGATTACCCACAGTCTTTATTGGATTTTATTTCCTCTAAAATATTTATTTTCTACAAATTTTCTATGATTTTTTACCAGTTTTTATTATAACAACTCAGTAAAAAAACTATTGCTATATTAAATATATAATTTAAAATTATCCAAATTTTCTTTTAAAAAAACCGAAATATATAATAATTAAAATAATAGTTAAATATCATACATTCATTAACATTAAATTAGTCAACAACATAGCATTCATACATTCAAATACTCAAAATACCATTACAATACCATAACATAAGTTAAGAACTAGTCAATAACATAACATCCATTAAGTGTTTTAAAACAAAAACTAAGAACTACTTGGTGGAATACCGGACGAATTGATTTGTTTCATAAATGTTGCCAATTGTCATTGCACTTGCAATTCCATTTTAATTCACATTTTTGCATTTACAAATCAATTTGAGTATGCTTTTGCTCCATACCTTATTGCATGTTTGATACTTGTCGCAACTCATTTACCTAAAAATAGGAAGACGAACACATGCACTTAGTAAATGTAATTCAACTTTAAACTGTGATAGCAATGTATTTTACTTTTAACTCAATATAGGAACATACTACTCATAATAACAATGTACATTGTTTTTAATATCCATAGTAATGACATACTTTAATTTTGATCTATAATAGCAACATACTATATTAAGAATGTAACCAACTTTTAATATGCATAATAATAACTTAATATATTTTTATCCATCATAGCATTGTACTTTACATTTCCAATCTATAATATCAATGCACTTAAATTATTATCAATAACAACAATTTAATTTACTTAATATCAATAATAGCAACATACTATAATTTTCACCCATTATAGAATTATGTTTTACCTAATTTAATAATAGCAACATGGTATTATTTTCAACCATAATAGCAGTGCACTTTTCCTAATATTTATAATGGCAACATATTTCAATTTTCACCCAACAACAATGTACTTTATTATTATCAAAATATATTTTTCATCTATATTAGGTATATCTTTACTTAAATTTTCTCTATAAAATATAATGCAAATCAATGTACATCCTGTTGTAACTTTGCAAAGTTCGCAGAAGCTGAAGTTGACTCAGAAAAATATGCACCCGTCATCAGAAATTGAAGATCTGAGGATCCTACCACATAGATAGGACCCTTTTGTTTCCCGCCTTTCCTAAGCAATTGTGTTTGGGTCCATAATTAAAAATAATTCACATTATGTTGAGTCGGATCATCACTATATTTTTTTTTATAGGGCTTTGTTATATAATTCCTACAATATACCAAAAGAATTGGTTTTGTTACTGTACTAAAAAGTAAAAACTAATATTAGTAAATATATTAAAGGATAAAGACAACTTACAATCGCCACCCTAGACGTCTCATTCGGAAATCCACCAGTACCTCTATATCTCCCCCAAAATATATTCTCTTTGATTCGGTGGTAAAATATGTCTTATAATAAAGATCAATGAACGAGAGGTCTTCACCCGTGAACTTTTTCTATATAAACGACACAACATAATTGATGTAATTAGTGTTGAAAGAAAAATGTATTACTAAAAATCTATAATTATTATTAATTACTACTTGAAGATGGTGCTCGTCAAATCCAATGCTACCACCTGTATGTATGGATGCCCGCCCCCACTACTCAGAATCAATGCTATAGATTTTTTTTTTCTGTTTTTACACCATATTTTCCACTCATCTATTTCCCATTTCTGTGATATATATATATATATATATATATATATATATATATATATATATATATATATATATATATATATATATATATATATAATAAAAAACAACAAAATAAGCAATAATATATTAGATTGCTTACTCTACACAAACGTCACCGAACATCTCTATGTATTTCATCAGGATTGTAATTTTCAAGAATCCCAAAGTTATCATTAATATCAGCGATAACTTGCCCAACATTTCATATAGAATTTGTCGTTGCTTCCTTGGCATCCTTCATTCTATCCATGTAGCGATCCTTCAACGTATTCTAAAAACGTTCACAAATTCTCTCTTCCTCATTTGGATCTTACTGATATTCAGTTTGTAAAAAAACTAAAAAATAAAAGTTTAAAATGCAAAATAAGAATGTATGAGAAATAGATATTAAAAATAGATAATTAATATATTAACCTGAAACACTCAAACATTTGAGTGACCAGTTTATGCGGATTTTTTCTATAAGTAATCTAAGTTTCATTTATGCACTGCCAAAATATCTTTAAGATCGTCCGATGAATTTTTTGTCTCCCAAACCTACAATATTGAAATAACCATATAAGTATAATTATAACATCAACATTCATAGATTAAAAAAAAAAAACTTACTGTTACCCCTTTCGTGTGATAAATGGCCTATGAGAGCCATTCAAATTTGCAGCATTAGATCCAACTTCTGTACTCGAATAATAGGGCTTTTGAATAATTAGTAATGCAAGCTCATGTATAGACTCATGCGTAGGCTCATGCTCATGCACATGCTCAGGCCCATTATAGAAAAAATCACTAGCATGCTCTTCATTTTTGTCTGTTATCCCATAACCATATGTAGTATCATCCCCAAAGGGATGCGTGGAAGGCCAGTAGGGTCGGGTGATGACCTAACTCTCGGTGTTGAACCACACAAACAAGGGTTGTCTTGAAGGACACTAAGGTCAGCAGATGACTTGCCTCCTGATATAGAACCACCTATAAAAATGTTATGTAGAAGGTAACTAGGACCAGGAAAAGGCGATGACCTGGCTCCCAATACAAAAGCACATATCAGAGCACGGTGTGGAAGGCCACTAGGTTTAGACAAAGGTGATGATGTGGCTCCTGGTACATAACCACTTGTAAGCGGGATGCATAGAAGGCCATTAGGGTTAGGCAAAAAGGATGACATGGCTCCCGATATAGAACCACCTATAAGAGGGATGCGTGGAAGGCCAATATGCTCTGGCAAAGAGGATGTCTTACCACCCGATGGAGGACCAACTGCAAAAAGGTTATGTGTTAGGCCTTTGTCCGACTTGTTGCATTTATAGAACAAAAACAGTCACACATATTAGATGATAATGAAAAAAATAACAACTAGACTAGCATATACATACCGTATTATAAATCAAAAATAAAATGTGACAACAAAATATTAAAGTGTATATACCATATATCATAAAAGAAAGTTCCTAACATTCGACCTCATCTAGATCAGAGTAGTGAAAATAAACTGGTTCATCACTCTCCTCTTCATATATATCTTCTTCTTGGTTTTCCACTTTAGAAACCTCAATCTCATCATAAGATAATTGCTCAAAGTTATTTATATTTGAGACTAGGCTCAAACGTTCACTAACATTTACTTTATTCGGTAACCTAAATCGCTCATCAAGGTAAAAGAATCCATTTGCTTATATATTTCCATCAAGCCCAACTTCCGTTTTAGCTTCTGTGACTTCAAATACCCCTCTTGGTTTTGTCTTGACAACTACCCAAATATCTTTTGTTTCCTTTGTAACTGCATGATATGGTGTATAAAATACTTATTCCGCTTGTGCTGCCAAAAAAAAAGGGTTGTTGGTTGGAATATGAGATTTAGGTTTAAGATCAACCAATTTATTTTTCTTAACTACTACACCGCAGATATCATCAAACCAAGTACATTTGAATAGTACAATAGTCGAGCGCCCCATGCCATAATAGTCAATCTCTAGGATCTCATCCAATAATTCGTAGTAGTCTAACTCTTCACCATTATACATCTCCTACATGACGCATAGTAAATATAGTTATTCGTTGCACGCCCTTTACCATATTCTTGTGTATGGAACTTATAACCATTTACAAAGTAGCCATTGTAAGGCCGAGCATCCTGCAATGGGCCATTTGCTAAAGGTTCTAAATGCTTAGCACTTCTATCGGTTAAGTCCCTCGCTACCTACATTAAATAGCATATACGAAAAAGGTTTGTTGAAAAAAAAAACAAAAACATTAATAAGTATGATTGAATTGGTTTTACTTATTTTCTATTTAAACCATTACATAAAAAGTATTTACCTCTGATTACTGAAACCTATCTATGTATATAATACAGAATATACAAAAACCTTTCTATGTTTGTTCTTATGCGACAATTATCATCATTAAACAAATACATGATATACTAAATGTAAATCCCCCTCTAGAACGTATCACAATATTGTCCGCTTTGGGCCACTCGGCACAAGGACTTCCCGGGGGGTCACCTATCCCAATACTACTCCCACCCGAGCACACTTAACTGCAGATTTCTTATGGGATCTACTGGCCTCATAGCTTTAGAACATGTTGAGACAAGGAAGATATCCACATCCCTTATATGGAAATGTTTCGTTCTTCTTCCAAGGCAATGTGGGATCAGGTGCAACCCACCTTCACCCCTTATTATAGGGTTCGATGTCCCCGTCGAACACATCGACCCGTTCCCTAGCTCTGATATCATTTGTAAAATCCCCCTCTCGTATGTATCATAATATTGTACGCTTTGGGCCACTCAACATAAGGACTTCCCAAAGGGTCACCCATCCCGGTACTACTCCCGCCCGAGAACACTAAATTGTAGAGTTCTTATGGGATCTGCTACCCTCACAGATTTAATGTGACAACTAGAAAACTTTGAGTCAAGAAAAGTTGAAAGGGGTTTTGTGTATAAGTGTACCCAAAATGTATGTATGTAGCAATAAAAATCATTGAAATCTAAGGCCGAATTATGTGTATGATTTAACTATATACTTATGCTTTGAAAATAATATTCGCAACAAACACTTGAGAATCAATAAGATAGATCAAGAATTTCGAAAATTCCATTTACATTTAAAAGTGTTTTAAACGTAGAACTAAAATCGTGCTCAAGACCGAGAAGCCCCTAAGCCAAGAAGTCTTTAGGCCGAGAACCCTCTTAACAGAAAACCCATACCACTCGGATCAAAAATTCCTTGCAAAGAGAGTTCTCGGTTAAGGATGAACACTCTTGTGTTGTTGATCACCCTTGTACTAAAATCTCCCGAGTTCTCAGTGGCACACTAAGGCCAAAATCCATGTTTGCGACAACCCGAAATTTCCATTTGGTCAAACCCTAAAAGTCAACCACTTCATATCATAAATTAATCTCATTATTTCTTATTTTTAAGAAATATAAAGTTCATTTGATCATTTTAATATTATTTTTAAACGAATGGGTGAAAGAAAGTGTCGTCTCTGGCGTGAGCCAGACCTGTTATGGATGTGGCGCATTCAAGACTCATCTTATTATTTTGATTTACATTTTGTGTGTCTATAACTGTACGGAACACGGTTGTATTAAAATTATATATTTAATGCAATGGATGATGTTTGCATGTTTACCGTTATACTGTATTGTGATACTATACATGACATCCTCCACCCCAGAACGTTTCCGCTGTTCTTGGTTTTGGGGTGTGTCAATGTTCTTAGTTTAACAACTTTTACCCCGTAAGGAACCATGCAAATGATGCTATCATCCCCAAATAACCATGAACCCATCCCATACATACCTCCCATTTAAACATCAACCGAGGAGATCTTTTCCTATTCAACATCATCTTCTTTCTTCATCTTTCATCCTCTTCTCTCAAAGCAAGGGTAAGATCCTTCAGGGGTTGATTTTTCTTCAAGTGGTTCTTAGAATTTGGTAAGTATTTCCGTGATATCCTAGTGTTTTTAAACATTTTTATTTGATTTTCATCATCCTTACACACATTATTATGTGTTAACATCCTTAGCGTAACAAAATCTTCAAAGAGTTCATCAAGCACATCCAAGTGTTTTAGGCTTGGAATCTTCCCATTATCTCTTCAAACAACCCAAAAATCCACTCAAGGTGAGCTCATACTCCAATATTTTTTCGAGATTTTCATATTTTAGGGGAGAGGGGGGGGGGGGGGGGGATACAAGTCAAAATTTGTTTATTATACAAATACTTGCATATTTTATCATAATGTTGAAATATAAGCCATTATATCCATAAGATATCCTTATCACTAGCCTTTATATAAATAATTGTGATATATTTGTTTTGAAATACAAAACTACAAGAACAAACATATTCTATGTTATAAAAATCATAATAAAAATTATGATTTGTAAAACTACATGATTTTGGAAACTTTTTCCTAAAGGATAGTTTTTCTAATGAAAAGGGGTATTTTGTAGTCTTTTTTACTACTTCGGTGGATTACAACCTAAATACATTATGTTTGACTATATGTTTTGGATACCAGATAATAACTTTTATTTATATAAAGGATTATATAAATAGTTTCAACAACAAACAGGATAAACTATAATTGGTATAGTTTGGGAGTCACAAAACTAAAAGGTCATTTCATAAGAAGCAAATAATTATTCAAAGGCATAATTATGTCATTTACAAGAAAAAAGAGTTTTCAGTTGTGACAACCCGATGTTTTTCCATCGCCGCAACCCGTTTCGTCCATAAAACTCGTTTTAATCGAATTATTCCGATTTCATTTTTGGATTAGGTCAATTAAGTTAAGACTTTTATTTGACCTTGTAAGTATCCAAACATGTTGGAAACATGTGAAAACACCCCAAACTAGTGATTAGAAAAATTTTAGTTTTGAGCATATCAGGTGATGACAACTTAATCGGGTGCGACCAAAAGCCCCGCTTAAAATCAGTATCGGGTAGAATTCCATCGTGTATCAAATTCAAACCATATTTAAAGTGAATAACTCATTTGGAGCCTTTTCACTCTCTCTCTAACCTCTCTCCTCAATTCAAGATTTTGATCCAAAAATCATCCATTTCAAGCTTCAAAACACCAAGGTAATCATCCTAGCTTCTTGTACATCAATCTTAGCCTTCAATTTCGAGTTCAAATCATGATTTAGGACCTCAAACTTGTGTTTACGGCCCTAGAACACTCTTGGGCCATGAACACATATTAATGGTGTTTTTGAGCGTCAAAACCCTTCCAAATCACCATTGGAGCTTAGATATGGCTTAAGGACTTATTGGATTGGACTTAGGACACCTTAAACTCCAAATTTGAGGAGTAAACATGAGTTTACTGCCCAAGAACAAGCTTGGGCCGTAAACACCATTTCATGGGGAGTAAACTCCTTTTTGGGTGTTAAAATGCAACTTACACACCTTATAAGCCATAGAATAAAGTCTAGATGCAACCACAAGCAAGTTAAGGACCTTAAACTTGATTAAAATAACTCCATAAGGAGTTAATGGCCGTAAACCCCCCAAGAATGGGTTCCTGGGCCATAAACTCCTATAAATGTGTTGTTTGATGCCCTAAACTCACCCCTTAGCTTGTAAAATTGAGTAGAATCACTTGTGATAAATCATTAACCTTCAAAACACTTAAGAATTATGTGGGTGAGAGTTTACGGCCGTAAACACTTAGTTTACAGCCGTAAACTCATAAATTGGTCCATATGGTTAAATTAATTCCTTGATAATGCCCTAGAACCAAACCTAGTAACACCCCTCATTTGATTTAAGGCAATTTAACATATAAGAGCACCCCACCATAAGTTTACGACCGTAAACTCATGGGGATGTGGTGTTTAGGGCCTTGAACACTCCTTAGAGTTTAATGTTGAAGAGTAAACTCCATATCCTAGCCATTCATGTCCATAAACATCACCCGGGTCACTCCAAACACTTAATTTGAAGTGTTTTCTCGTCTTGGAGTGTATAATCGTTTCTGATTAGTGTTTTAAAGTCTAATTAGATACATTTGTGTATCATTTAACATTACATAGGAACCTCGCACATTTTCAAACCTAGATCCGACGTTTAGCATCCCCGTCGACACATTCCTCGTCCGGTGAGTTGATACCCCTACCATTTTTCAAATGTTTTCAGGGGGGGGGGGGGATACAAGAAAAAGTACAAGGAAATCCTGTACTTAAATTTATTATTTTCTGTTCAATTGTTTCATATTTTGAATACTTTTAATATCGAAAATCATACTAACCATTTGTTCGAATTGTAGAGTAAATTTTCAAACTAAATGTAGATTCCTTTAATAGATGTTATAAACTAAGTTTCATATTATGTTTTGTATAAGGAATCATACTAATCATAAACTAAGATATATAACTAATAGGATAGAAGGAATACGAATACGAATATAACTAATAGGATAGAACGAATACGAATACGAATAGGATTAGGAATAGGACTAGGAATGCGAATACGAAATAACGCCTTTGGATGACACCAAGACTTCAAATATACAACTAGTGTACCCCTTGAGTGTCACCATAGTTTCAAAATTAATTTGACAGTACGCCTCTGGACAACGATTGTCGATAGAGTTTCGAAAATACGTCTAAGGTAACCTTTTGGAAATCACCAGATCTTCAAAAATACTGTTAATGTGCGCTTCTGAGTGAATCCAAATATTCGAAAATAGCTCTAAGTATAGCAGATAATCAACAATCGAATCTAGGATACCTAAGATATCACAATACTTAACTAAAACTATAAGTAAGGTAGTTCCTAGTACATCGAAATCTAAACTACTAATTAAGTATTAAAAGGGACAGCTAAACACTTAGGAAAATATGGGATTTTCCTGGAATAACGTAACAACTCGTAAACGAATTAAATAGCGAAATGATAACTAAAATACTTAGGAAAATATGGGATTTTCCTGGAATAACGTAACAACTCGTAGACGAATTAAATAGCGAAATGATAACTAAAATACTTACGAAAA